GATTTGGGCAAAGGCTTTAACCAAAATTCTGAACCGTGTCTACTTGCGTGTAGATTCCCGAAGCACGTTAATTAATCTAAGTCTATGTTAAAATTCTTTTAAGAATTATTCTTAGTTTAATCATTTTATATTTTGTAGCATTTTTGTGAATAATTGTGGAATTGTGGAACTCTCATTTGATATCGTATTAAGTTTTTTATGTCTTGGGAAACATTCATATCTTAACATCTTGTTATTTGTCGCCTTGGGATTTATGTGAAAACCTTTGATTGGTTGAAATCTTGAACCGAGAGTTCCAAGTTCCACTGAAAATTCCATAAACTCCTTAATCACTAATTTATGATTAAGTGAGAGTTCTCGATAATTTTTTGAGTTATCAAGATAATATTTTTAAAGATATTATATTGATTAAATGTAGGTTCCTGAGGAATCGAGCCTCACCGACCTACCGAGTTATTGTGTGATATCTACCTATCGTCAGAATAGGTGGGTGTTGATAATTCTTACCATGTATGTTATTCTTTATAACTGCTTGGCTTTATAACTAATGCATGCATGTGAACCATTGGCCTAATGATACGCAATGCCTAACGAAAGACGATCTTCATCTGCCTAATGAGAGGTGTTAGGCTCATGTTGATGAGCGAGCTTCTAATGAATGGCGAATCCGACAGTAATTGGCTCTCGTTGATGAGCGCCTAATGAATGGTGATACCGACGGTATAAGATGTGCACATGAGACATGAGACTATAGAATGATTGGAGATAATTGAGTGAAAAATGATTTGTGTTCATGGTGAGATTATGATTTTAAGTCATTATAGTGAATAGACTGCATGATATTCCAACGTTGAGCTTGTTGTTTGCTCACCCCCATTATTCACTTCCCCCATATTTCAGGTTGAACTGGTGGCCATGGCAATTGAGGGGCGAGTGGGGTCATTGTGTCGGATATTATGATTTGTTTATCTACTTTCGCTATTGTTATTATGTTTTTATCATGTAAAACTCATTATGAAATTGAATTGTATTGTATGACTTGAGATTGGATATTGGTCTGAGTAATATGATATTATATTGAGGCTTGTTGATGAGTATGTGATATTGTGTCCTTTGGATTATATGTCTATGTGATTTTCTGGGGATGGTTTATTTCCAAAGGCTGAAGTCGATACTTAAGCATATTGAGCTTCGTTTGAGTAATGCCCGTTAATCGATTTCAAACTTGACAATGTTTTGAAAAAATTTAAGTTTGATTTTGGGAAAATTCGGTAATTTTCTTTTAAAACAACGGGGCGTTACACTTCTAGTTATGACCTAGTGTTTGATCGCTCGATAAAATGTTTCATAATCCTATGTTACACTTATCTATCATTTTGAGACTTGGAGCGCTTAGTATTATTTTTTCTTGTACTGCTATTTCATCAGTTTTATGCTTTCTTTAGTTTAATTAAATTAACTAATCCACATGTGTTTAGAGCATTAACTTTGTTTTCTGTTCTTTTGTATCAATCACTGTCCAAACCCAGTTCTAACATGACCTGTCGATAGACACGATAGAGATAGATCGATATCCCCTATCGAACACTATAAAAATAAAAACTACTCTAGCAGAAGGTACTAAAACTAGAAAAAGGCGGTAATGTTTGGGTACTCAAAGTGAAATTTTAAACTATAAACACCAGAGAAATTGATACCAAATAAGTAAAAGGAAAATTATTATAATTATCCCAACTCTAGGAATGTTTAAATTTATGGATATTGGGATGCAAACCAGATAACTTAGAGTACATATATATGCTCTTTATTCAAAGGGTATGCCAAATGGCACTTATTGTAGAGCATATGAAACACATCTAGGTCAAAATATTGTTGAAAATATTTAGGCTTGGAGAGAACATATATTTTGGATCAAACTTTCTTTTATTATCACGGAAGGTATTCCATTTGGATCCAAAATGTTCAATCCACTGTGCCTGGTTGTCGTAGAATGCCAGGTACTTCTTGTATTCGATACCATTTTTTCTACAGACACTCAAAAGCTTTTGGTTGAAATCATCAAAGACCTTGTAATTAGTGGGTTCACTCCTATGTAGTAGTCCCAATGTATAAAATATCTCCTCATCTGGTATCACTGCAGAGGTTTTATTACTCCATCTGCGCATAATTGTAATTCAATATATACAGTTAGCAACATTTTTAGGTAATTATAACAAAAAATAAAGATAAAGTGACAAATTTAGATAAGGAATTCATGAATTGTGTAGTACTTTGTTGCATTTAGTGGGTAGTAAAGAGGGATGGTAGGTGCTTGTCCAAGGGTTGGAAGCAACCCAGCCAATACATATTTATTAAAATTATCCTTTTGGGATCTCGGGATAAATAGAACGAGCCACGGATGAGCTTGCAGTGATCCCCGGTCGGGACGGTCCAAGTCTCCGACTCTGTAAATGAAATCGAAGTAGGACACATCTGAAGTGAAGATGAACTTAGGGATGAACTTCAACGTGCCAACCAACATATTGAAATTCTGTTACAAGGATAAAAAAACTATTAATTAACTGAGATGTACATGATTGAAATTGATACACTTAAATGATATAAATATATGATTGTAGTGTAATTAATCTGGCCTCTCTTGTAAGAAGAATTAATGGATAAATAAAGAATTAATGAGTGGTTAAACATATATAGTACCTGATGAACAGTGTTGACAGTCTGATCGTCGTAGTACATGGCGAATTCAATGGCATATAGAACATTATATTTCTTCAACAAGGCATCAACATCTTTTAGAGTGACAGAAGAATTGGAATCTATCCAACCACTTGGTATAATGTTATTTACGATAATGTAACCTTCGGTGTAGTTTGGAAGATTGCTTGAAATAAGAAACTCTTGGTCATTTGTGAAATCAAGAAAGTTACTATAAATCAATCTTGTTACTATTGCCTGTGATTACAGAGAGATCGAATTATGAATATAATGGAAAAATGGCATAAATTGTGGCAATCAATAGTAATACATAATGTCGGTAATTAAATGAAATACAATAAGTATAAAATATTACTCTTGTTGGCGCTTTTCCAAGTCTGATTCGTGCCTCTGTCATGATGCCAAACTGTCCAAGGCCACCGAGAAGGGCATAAAATAGGTCGGAGTTCAAGTCTGGTGTACAAAGTTTATATTCTCCTGTACCTAAATGGTTATGCATGCACGAAGGTAATATTCTAACATACCAAAGAAAAATATGGTGACTAGTGAGAAATAAAATTAATTATTGAAACTAATTATATATTTTTATATATTACTTGTGATTGCATATAGAGAATAAACATTGGAGATTTGGGGACCGTGCTGAAATGATTGTCCGCTTATACCCCCGTTTGAGAGTGTTCCGCCCACGCTGGCGTGTATATAATCCGTAAATGACACAGGCGTAAGATTAACCTTAAGTGTGGCTTTGAGAATGTCTAACCACTGCAGCTCGCACCCGACATCTGCATAGTAACCTATGTGATTCTTACCAATATTAATCCTACTCCCGTAGAAATTCTTTATAGAAGTCATGTTGACCACTGTGCCGGCCAAGACTTGGGATTGTCCCCTCGTAGAATGGCCATGTGCCCTTATGGAAATGCTATTGTTCTTATTAATGTCATACTGGTTATATTTTTGCTTAATAAAAAATTGGATGTCACTCACATAGTTAGGGCCAAATACGAAAGTTGGTTTGAGGTGAACTATGTTTCCATAGTCTTTGGATGCTTTTTCGAGGGATGCATTGTCATAGTGAAATGTATTTTTTGGTGGGTACCAAGCAGCCGTATGTGGGATGATGCAGACTACGATAATAAGCAACAAGGATAGAAAAGGGACTGAAATTGAAGGGGGGCTTGCCATCACTACTTGTGGGTGTATGGTGGCTAATTGGATTATTAGTTACTTGGTGAGTGGTATGGTTTTCGATATATGAGTGAGTATTTATAGACATGTAGCGAGCAAGAGAGCTTTTTAAATTCACCAACACCTTCATCTTTTGGATGATACCAAAGGACATATTTAACTTTCGAGGGATCATTTTTTTCTCTCAAATCCGTGTCACAATATTTCTTTTAATAAATCTCACTAATTTCAAAAAAAAAAATTAAAAAAACTAAACATCATTTTCAGAAATCCATACACATATTTTCTGAGTGGTAGAGAGAGAAGAGATCCCAGATAAATGCATAATTTAGCATGCAAGAACTCAACTCTTACGGAAACAAAGATATATGCAACAAATCATGTAAAAAACTAAATTATTAACGAATGTAAAAATATACTAGAGTAATCTCTTTTTTATGTTCCAAAAGACACACATAAACACACACATACACACTCTTTCACACATACACAAACACACACACACATACATATATATATATATATATATATATATATATTATGTCACTTCTATCACGAATTGGGTTGAACCGCTTACGCATGGGCGTATCTACATTAAGACCAGTGTGGGCCTAGGCCCACACTGGAAAGAAAAAAATTACAATAACTTAAGTATCATTAGAATTCAAAATATAACTTAATAGCCATTACCAAAATAAAAGTGGAAATTAAAGACAATTCTTACATAAGCACCAACAACCAAAAATAAAAAATATAAAAGGACATAATGGAGAAAAAATATCATTGTTCTTACTAATTTGTGGTGAAAGAAAATTTAACCTCCTTATCATTGTTCTGATTATTTAAAAAGAATAATATCATTAATTATAATATGGCGTGTGTGGTTAATAACTTATATTCTAGACTATTAAAAGTTTGACATAATAGTAAAATATTTTATTCATTCTGATTTATTTTTTTTTACAATAAATTATGGAGAAATATTTTTGAAAAATTCTTCAAAATAAGTGCTTATGGAAATATTTTAAAATGAGATACTTTCATTCCAAATAGACTTGAGGTGAATACTTATATAGTTGGTTCTAAAGAAATGCGATGAAAAATTCAGCGAAGTTATTATAGAGCAATATTGAGCTATAAAAACTCATAGTTTATTATAAATTGTGTTTTTATGTTTATAATATTTAAATGATAGTATAATATACTTTTTAAATAACAAATAGGCCCCCACTCATTCTATCAGCTAGATCCTCCCCTGCGCTTACGCCTGAACTTTTTCTTCTTCGAGCTCCGGTGACCTGCAATACTCTGGGAAGGGGGTCACGGTGAAAAATCTTCAACGCTCAAGTAAAAACTTGTTCAACAAATATATACGAAAATATGTAACTTAAGGCGTAGAATGCGATATGAATGAAGAATAACCTGACACCCTTATATAGGGTAGTTTATGCCCAAGAGACTCCTTGTTAGGAAAGAGATTCAACCAGATTATACTTCCTAATTTACCACATATTTATCTAGGCACGTCCCTTGAGCAAATGATCCTTTTCTTTTTACTAGGATTCTTTCCCCTTTACTATACAACTTTTAGGTCCCCAAGCCGTAACCTCAACCTCATGACCAACTTGTTGCAGCTTACACAAGGTCAAACCTAACCTCATCCCGAGGTCTGACATGGTCTTAGATCATATGACCTCGATACCTCAAGGTCGGCCTTATTGTAGAGGTGCTAGAGTTCGGTACCTCCGGGTCTGATATAGCACTCAGAAGTATCTAGGCAGAACGGTCTGAGCATGCTCAGTTAAGTTTGGGATAGGAGAGCTCCAATGCGGACAGAGGTAAGATGCTTGGTCAAGCAACTTGGAAGTGGGCTTAAGGTGATGAGCTCCGAGCCCAATAAACTAACCGACCTCGAGTGTATTGAGGTCGGGTGGTCAAGGGGCAAGATAGACCTAAAGACGAGGTCGGTCTAGACCTCAGAACAAGGTCAGGTACCCCCTTAAGAAGGCCACAACAGACTTGTCAGGAGGTCAAATATATGACCTAAAGATCCATGGGCTGAAACAGTGAAGGGGAGAAAAATCTAAGTAAAAAGAAAATAATCATTCGCTCAAGTACTCTTACCAAGATAGAGACGTGGTAAGTTAGCGAAGTAGAATCTGGTTAAATCTCTTTCCTTACAGTAACTCTCTTCGGCCCTAAGATATTAAGCCATATATAAGGGCGACGAGTTCTCTTTTATCATCAGCCCACATGTTCTATGCCTTATATATTCTTAAGCCTACAATTTGAGCGAGTTCTGACTTGAGCATCAGAGATTTTCCGCCAGGACCTGCACCCGGCTTGTTGCAGGTTATCGAAGCTGAAGGAAGAGAAACGTTCAACGCGTAAGTGTTGAATTTGTTCGTGACCAAAAGTGACGTAACAGTTGTTATGCGACATAATATATGATATGGTAATTATGCGATGAATTTGAATATACGAGTCGTAAACCATGCTAAAATATGTCGCATAACCACAAAATATATGACATTCGATTTAGTTATGTGATAACATATTATGCGAAAAGTTATCGCATATGGTAATTATCTGGTGGACTTTGACATGCTAGTCGTAAACAATGAGAAAATATGTTGCATAATTGTAAAATATGCAGCTATCAATTATAAATATCATATATATGCGAAATGACTTCGCATATCGTAAATTATGGGGCGGATTTTGATATGCATGCAATTACAACATATACTTAATTATTTCGCATAATATTTAACTATTCGTCTGATTTGGATATGCGTTGATCTATATACGACAATATCTTGCTTAATTGTTAATTATGTGTTTCATTTAGATATGTGTTTTCATATCTCGCATATCATTTTGGGATGAAAAAAGATGTTTTTATGGGAGAGTGTGTAAAAGAAAGACCATGTATATATCGAGGTGTAAAAAAAATTGTCCGTGCATTTTAACTAGCAAAGGTCGGGTTGGATATAAGATTTTTTATTTTGCTTAGATTTTTAGTTTGGTCTGATTAATTCTGAAAAATGTGGTATGATTAGTTGTAATTGGGATTTTGAGTTTACATTAAAATATTATTTTAAATGAAATAATTAAATTAAACTTGATGTAAAAGCATGAAAGATTTGATGTGAAGTGACAATAATTAAGTTGAAAATTATTGAAGTGGATGATTAATAAATTAAAGTTGATGTAATGTGTAAGAATAATTGATTGATATTATTATTAATTGTAAATACAATTTTGAGTTTATATTAAAATATTATTTAAAATGAAATAATTAAATTAGATTTGATGTAAAAGCATAAAAGAGATAGTGTGAACTGATAGTAATTAAGTTAAACTTATTGGAATTGATGAATAGCAAATTAAAGTTGATACAATATGTAATAAAAATTAATCAATAATATATTATATTGATAACATGGAAGATAGTTGAATTAAGTTAATTGAGTTAGATTTGAGTATAGGGGAAAAAAAACGTATCAAGAATCCTCATATACTATGTGTCCATATATGAAAGACAATAATAGTAAAAAATTAACAGTCCGCACACGATTTTTTTATTTTTTTATTTTTGGATAAGGTAAAATGGCTGTCTTAAAATTTCGGTTTTTCACCCATTTATCTGCTTGGGGACCTGGGGTTGTCTTTTAGTTTCGGGTTTTTAACCCCTACGACCTATTATTGATGTTTTCTTGAACTTGAGAAGATAAATCATGCACTAGCATCTAGTCTAACAATCATTATCAAAATATTTTTATAAATCATTATCCAAATATTATATACTATATATTGGCCTTACGTGCATATTATATACTATTATAATCCTAGCCTATAAAGATTTTGGGTGCAAGTAGTGAGTAGAGTAATTTTTTGGTGTGGTTACATAGAGTAGTTTTTTTGGGTAGATATTCATAATCATAGCCTATAAAGATTTTGGGTGCAAGTAATTTTGTGGTTTGGTAATTACAAGCATGTTTGTTTACACAAATTTTTAGTTTTGTTTGGATTTTTTGGTTTGATTTGGTTAATTTTGAAAAATGTGGTATAGTTAGTTGTTAGTGGGTATATTAAAATAATATTTAAAATAAAATAATTAAAATAATTTGATGAAAAAGTAGGAGAGAGATTGTTTGATGTGATAGTTAGTTAAAATAATGTGAGTGGATGAATAGTGAATTAAAGTTGATATGGTGTGTAAGAATGATTGATTGATATTATTTAATTATATTGATAATATTGATAATAGTGAGGTTGAGTTAAAGTTGAGTTAAAAAAAAAATGGTTGAGTTAAAATGTTGGAATTTTTTTTAAAATTTTCCATAAACAAACATGCTCACACATAGAGTTATAATGCTCAACTTCCCACGATGGGCATATATTAATTCTCACCGCTTATGTGGCATGCACACATTTGTGATGTATTTTTTGAATATATTAACATCACCAATGTGCGCATGCTACATAAGCGTGAATATATTAACATGTGCCCACTATGGATAGGGAAGCATTACTGCTACATAGAATAGTTTTTTGGGCATATATTTATAATCATAGCCAATAAAGATTTTGGGTGCAAGTAGTCCATATCTTGAGATTTAGTGTTCAAATTGATAATGGAAAACAATTAAAAAAATTAA